CAGTAAACACTGTGATTGGTGTCATACGCCTTCAAGTCAGAACGGACGCATACAGACACAGCTGACCCTCCAGCAGGATTGCAGAGCTGTGACCTGCACAGGACACCACCTATCTGTGTCCCGGGAGCAGCTGGTGGAGCCAACCCCCTGCCTCTGGGTCGGCAATGCCACTCCTAACCCTTAAGCCACAAAAGCTCTGTAGTACATTCTCAGAAGGATAAAGTCAGTACAGCAGAGCAGTTCAGAATAGGTTGTTGTTGGTGGTGTTATGTGCCCTCAAGTCGCCTGAGACTCATAGCGACCCTATGTACAACAGCCCTAAACCCTGCTCTGTTCTGTGCAAACCTTACTGTCTCCAACACACTCAGCCTGATTACCCCAGTCACTGAATCAATCCACCTCATAAAGGGTCTTCCGCTCCTCTGCTGTCCGTCCACCCTCCCAAGCATGATGTCCTTCTCCAAGGACTGGTCCCTCCTTGCAACATGTCCATAGTATGTCAGACAAAGCCTCAGAATCTTTGCCTCCAAGGAGCAGCCTGGTTTAACCCTCTCCAGGCAGAACCTGTTTGTTTTCTTAGCAGTCCATGGTACACTCAATAATACTCTTCTCCAGCACCACAGCTCAAAGACATCAATTCTCCTTCTATCCTCCCTAGTCATTGTCCAACTCTCTGATGCTTAACAAGTGATAGCAAAGACCATGGCCTGTATTAGATGCACCTTAGTCTCCAGAGGGACACCACTTCTCTTCAGTACTTTGGAGAGGTCCCTAACAGCAGACTTGCTCATGGCAATACGCCTTTTAATTTCCTGACTACTGGTGCCGAGAGTGTTGACTGTGGAGCCAAGCAAACTAAAGCTGTGAACAATCTCAATCTCTTCACCATCCATCCTGATGCTGCCAATTGGCCCAGTGATGAGAGTTGGCGGAACTATAAATGCATGCCCCATCTTTACATAAAGCTGCACTGATTAATGGGGATGTCCAGTAGTGTGGTCCATAGTGGGATGAGCACATCTTTCCAGGTTCACATCCATCAGCAGCTCCTCAGGGAATAAAAGATGGTCAATCTCCTCCCCTGTGATTTACAGGCTATGAAAATCCCTGGAGGGTCAACTATGAGCCAGTTCTGATACAATGATAATGAATTTGAGTTTGAGCATGGATTCAACAGTGAGGGTGGGGGACAGGACAGGGGGAGCCTGTAAATGATGGTTCCCACCCCCTTGACTACCGGTCAGTCCCAGCTCGGAGCAACCTAACAGTACGGAGCTGCACTGACCTACAGAGTGTCCAACACTCCCAGATTTCCATGCTTCCTCCCGCTGCCACTGGCTTCAGGGAGACCCACCTTTCAGGGAACAGGCTGCGCTTAACCTCTGCACCAACAGGGTTTCGAAATGAACACTATCCACTATCCTCAGCCAAACCTGACTCCCAGCAACCCTGCCGGACAGAGCTAGACTGCCCAGTAGGGTTTCCTAGGATATAACTCTTTATGGCCTCATTGCACTCTCATGGAACAGCTTGTGGTTTCGAACTGCTGAGTTTTTGAATACCAGCCAAATGACTTGACATTCTGCTCCTAAATGCCCATTGTTGTTGTTGTTGACTGCCTTCAAGTCGAGCATGACTCATAGCGACAGCATGAACAAAAGGCCTGAAGCCCCTCTACAACCATCGACATTTATCAAAGTTCATCGAGTTTCCAGAGGCATGTTGTATAAGAAGTGGATACCACTCTGGTGTAGTTTCCTAAAATTGCCACTTCAAGCAAGGCACAAAACACAAAGTAGTGGCAGAACAGTAAATGTAAAACAAAATTCTCAGAATTTCCTAGACTTTCCAGGAGGTGCTATTTTTGGTTACGGAATCCCTGAAGTAGTGGAGAAGCCATCAAAATAATCAGTGACTGGGGGAAATGATGTAATACTTCTAATGTCAAAAGACTGAAATGTTTCCCTTTGACCTTTGATCAGAATTACTATCCTAACCGAGAACCTCAGGTCACTAGTGCCTCAAAAGATAGAGCAAGATAAGCACAGTGCAAAGACTTTGGGCTAGATAACCAGGAACATTTCTAACATTTCTATATGGCAAATTACTTCATATTAGAATGGATTGCTGAGACGGGCAAAGGAGACTACGCCGTTGGAGGTCTTTCACACAAGGATAGATAGAGTCTATCTGAGCTGCCTGGAATGGTTTAAAATCAGTGCTGAGTGAAGATTAATGGTGCCAACTGCCCTGCCAAGGCCCTCTTACAGAGTACTCTGGAAGTTTAACTTTATATATGACCCATCACAGCCCCTCAGCTGTGGAGTCTGAAGAACTCCCCTGTACCTTGGAAAAGGGTAATACTTTTAAATTGTTGAATTCTGAGTAAAACTTTAATAATGTCAGCAGGAAACATAATACCCCTATAACTTCTCAGTTCCTTCACCAAGAAAGCTTCCTACAAATACCTTTCAATTAGAAACAGCACTCATTAATCTGAAATCTTAATAGTCATCATTTGAAATACATGTTCCCTTAAAGGCTACTTGCATATGCTGTTTCTCAAGCAAATCAGTCAAAGCCAAAATAAGGCAATACACGAGAAGGCGTTTAAAGGAAAAAATATCACCCTGGGAAGTATTACCTAAACCGTATTATTTAAAGTATATGTACATAATATTGGAAAATGGGAGGAGAAGAAGACTCCGTCATGTAATAGTTAGGCATGCTTCCTAAGGGAGTCTTCCAGCCACAGCAAGTTGCAGCTGTGAAGTTTACTTTGAAAGCTGCAGAGCCATAAAGACACAATTTTCTTTTAGTTGTTTATTTTCCTATCAAATGAGCCTCTGACCCCACAGTGACCTGTGTGGTGAGGACATCCACCAGCCTCAATGGACAACCGGCTTCAGACAAAGTCTACAGACCCTTCAGACCTAGAAAATGAATGTAACAAAAGTGCTGGCATATCAGAAATTCATAGTTAATCAATTAGCAAGACTGTAACAAGAAGAATAGGATAGGAAGAAGAAAAAAAAAAAAAAAGACGGAAAAGAGCCTGTGTAGTTACAACACTTACTGAAGGACTTCTATTAACAACTAGCGGTGTTCTCAGCAAAATACATCTTAACTACAGAAAACATTTACACTGAAAATCTTCGCTTCATTATGAAGTAGATTTGCAACCGGCTGAGAATCTCTGTGGTCCCCAGAGCCTCCCATTCTCTGCTGAAGAATACAGAAAGAATTTTAAGGTCCTGAACTATTTCTTCCTTTGAGATATCTTATCTGAAATCGAGTTGGGCAAGAGACACCTTTAGAAATGCCCAGATTAGAGGAGAAAAAGTTTCTAGAAGAGATCCACGCTAGAAACCCTTAACAGCTGAATTCCCTGAGATGTGGAGAGGGGTTAAAAAGCGAGGTTGATGCTTACCAATTAATTAAACAGAATGAAGTAACAGCAGACAATGGGAACTTAAAAGAGCTGTGGGGGCAATCGCTCTCCATTCACTGATTAACAAATTAAGGAATTAAAAGAAATATAAGAAAACACACAGAAAAAGGCGGGGGAGAGGGCGACAAGGCCGCACAAGTAGCGTCCGATGCCCCACTGGTTCCGAGCGGGACTCACTAGAGTCCTTAGCTGGTTCTCAGTGGGGGGCGAGGGTAGGAGTAAACGCACCCTCTAAGCAGCCACTTGAAGTGTAGACATTTCTCCTCCCTAAATGTACATACACGTTTGATTTCAGAATACATTTTTTTTTAACCACAACGTTTGTGCAGAGTTTCAAAAGCAACCACGACAAAGTAGCAGTTGCACTAAGTATGAAAGTGTCGTGTTTTACGATAGCTGCACAAGGCTTTCAGCCAGCCTGCACCGGAGCCCGCAGACCGAACGCGGCAGGAGCGGGAGGTAACGCGGCGCTGTCACGCGATGACGCGCGGTCACTCCGGACTCGGCAGCGGGGTCCGAGCAGCGCCCCGCCGCCCCTCTGCCTCCCGCAGCACTGCCCGCACCCCCGAGGATTAGCTCTCCGCGACACGTTTCATTCACTGCGCCCCGAGCAGCAGGGGTTGGGTTGGAGCAAAGAGCCGGAAAACGCGCACCCGGGCTGCGCAAGTTGTCGGAAACAGCGGCGCCCGGAACGGGCAGGGGGCTCTCCCGCTCTCCACGGAGGAATGCTAGTGGTCTTGTCCAGGGGCGACACAGGGTCCACCGACCTCAAGCCGAGTCCCCAGCTAACCTCCCAAGAGCAGGTACGTGGATGAGACGTATTCAAGACCGGGCGCAACGCCGGTGGCTGGAGTGGCCCCCTTAAACCACAAGTGACCAACCGTCATATGGGAACCGTAACGGGAAAGCCCGCCCCAAATCCAGCTACCCAAACCAGTCCGAACTGCCGGCATCCACAGGCCGGCTCCCCGGCGGGGTCCCCCGGCCTAGCTGGGCCCCGACCCGGGCTCCCGGGGCTCCGCGCCCCCGCAGGATGGAGGGAGTCGGGAGAAGGGCTGAGTGGTCCCCACGCGTCCCCAGCGCCCCTGCCGGCGCGAGGGCGGGAGCGGAGACGGCGCCACTCCGGCTGGGGCGCTGGGCAAACTGCGGTGCAGTTCTTCCAAGTTTGCTGGAGCGAGAAGCGCGGAGCGGGCGCCCGGCTTGGGGAGCCACGTTCGGCGAGCCTCCCCCGGCCCCCGGCCGCCCCGAGTGCTCCGTCCTGCCCGGCCCCCGGCCCGAGGCGACAGCGGAGGGGGCGCAGGGCGCGAGGAGAGGGAGGGAGGGAGGGAAAGAAGAGGGCGCTCCCGCGTGTGCAACACAATGAGGCGGCGGGGACGCACGCCGGCCCCGGGAGAAGCCGCCGGAGCATCCCCGCCCGGCGCGGGGCGCCCGGGCTGAAAGTGAACACCTACAACTCAGCAACAGGGGGGACGGAGGAGGGCGCCGGGCGCCCGGGGAACACGCAGCTGCCCAGCGCTGCAGCCCACCTCGGCCGCGCGCTTCCACTTACCTGCGATCTCCTGGTAGGGGATGTCCGCCAGGCTGAATCCCTTGGCACCGTAAGCCTGGCGGACCTCTCCGCAGCTCCGAGCCTTCACGTCCGCCCCAGCCGGGAGGGCCAGCAGCAGCCCCGAGAGGGGAAGAATCACAGCCCCGATCCAGGAAGGCATGGTGCAGCATGCAAATCCAGCTCGGGAAGCCCGGGGCCCGTGCGCTCTTCACCTTAACCCTCGCGCCCAAAGCCCGCCAGAGCCCGCGACACGCTCCTCGCCGCTGCCCAGCGTCACCCCCTTCCGCTGGCCGAGGGGACGAGCAGCGCAGTGCGCTCAGCAAACTTTTATAAGCCAGATGGAGGATGGCGAGCCAAGCAGAGCTGATGGTGAAAGCAGCCGCCTGACTCCTGGAGACGCAAACCGGTGAGATGCAGACGAGGGACAGAGGAGGAGGAGAAAGCAGTGTTTGGAAGCAGCACCCCCGGGGCTCGGAGCGGCCGTGGAGTTGCAGCCGCAGGACGCCGGCGCGCGGCGAGCTCGCGGGCAGAGTGTGCGCGACGGTGCGAGTGCGCCCGGCTCTCCCGGGAGCGCGAGGTGCGCGCGCGTGCGGCCCGGAGAGCGCCGGTCCTCGGGGTGTGCGCGCCGAGGTATGTGTTGGGGATGGACGGGATCTAGGGGAAACCTCAGCTTCACACACGCTCAGGGAGCCAGTGAGAGTCCTCCCGAAATAGGAAGAGAGAAATCCTGGAGACAGACGCCGGAGGCCGGAGGGAAGGAGAAAGGAAGGGAGAGCGAAACGTGCTACACATTGCACAGCCCAAATTCAGAGGCGGAGTCGGAGGCAAAACCTGGACTGGATCTTTCCCTACTCGGGGTGGGGGGGGGCGGGAAATAATAAAGGAAATGTTCGGATTTTCTCACTTCCTTCACAACCTTCCTACAGATCCGAAGCGCTATTTTTCATGACAAATAGAAGCAGTAGGTAGATGAAGGTTATTTTTAAGGATTTAACTTAACGTTATTTGTGTCTGTGGACATGAAAAGGCAAGGCGATTCAAATTGTTGCTCTTGACATGCTGGTGGCCTCCTGAAACACAAACCAGAGGGAGAAGTTAACCCGGTGTGGAAATAAATAGGAAAGAAAAAGAAAACCGCTGGACAATAGAATTCGGTCACAGCTCGAGCTGGTTGTACAGTTCCTGTTCGGCTTTGTTTTCTGAAGACAGGTAATTCGTGTAAATTAGTACGTTCCCTTTTTCTTTAATTTGGATTTCAGACTCAGAATCCCCCACCTCCCTTTCTCACTTCAAATATTTTGGAATCATTAGTTATTGGAGGAACAGAAGAGCTTAAGAATATAACCAGAGACAAGTCATGAGAAGGGAGAGGGAAAGGGTCAGTAGGATTTGGGAAAGATGATGATGGGGGAGGCCCCCACTGTCACACCCTAGACGTTCCGCAGTTTAATAAGTTAACAGAATTCTCAGGTGGTCTCAATTCCTCTTTGTTCCACTCTTCCCATTCACATCGAAATAATGTGAGATGAAATCAAAGCAAAAATGCAGATATGGCTAATTGATTTTCTTATCGCAATGTGGTGGTGTTGTGTGAAGTCCCAAGGTAACTGATTTTGTACTTGACCCTCCAGTGGATTTTTAGAGACTTCAATAGCAAGGGAGGAGATGCGCCACCTTTCTGAATCCTTGAATTTGAACCTGTAGTCTTAGGTTCACAGTGCAACTCCTTACCCCAAGGTCATCAGAGAATTCTGCCTGGACAGAAAGGCTTTGTTGAAACTGAACACTCATGCTGCTAGCTCATTTTGATGCAAGACTAGAGAAATCGTGAAACAAAAGAAACAAAAACTAACCCCGCACTTTATGTGATCACACACGTGTTCTGTAAGCAGTTATTCAGAAATGACCTGTGAGTTTTGTCCACTCTAATGGAGTTCACTTACAAAGCTACACTTGGAGAGGGGTTTTTTTTTGTTTTCTTTTTTTTTTTTTTCTGACGAGGTTGAACCTGTTGGCAACGAGAATGGCTCATGAGATAGAAGTCATTCTAATTGTTTTCACCATCATTTTGTTGTTATGGGCTGTTGAGTCACCTGTAATTCATAGCGACCTTATCTACAACACTCTGAAGTCTGTCCTGTCCTGAGCCAGTCTCACTGACTCGCCATCATACTCAGCAAAAAATAACTCCATAACCAAACCTTTCTTTTAAAATTGTTTACAAAACTTCTCCAGAATAATTAACAACATATTTTTAATTTTTCACTTCATTATGGCCACAGGAACCAAAAATTTGACCTTGGGTATATCCCACCTGAATTTCAAAACTATCTCAGAAACAGGTGTGAGGCCTTGAACACTAATGAGCGAAGACCAGATAAGTTGTGGGAGGATATTAAGAATGTCATCCAGAAAGAATGCAAAAGGTCACCACAAAGACAAAGGAAACAAAGACCAAGATGAATGTCAGATGAGATTCTGAATATTGCACTAGAATGGCGATAAGCCAAAGCAAAGGGAAGAAATTAAGAAGATAAGGAGCTGAACAGATGGTTTCAAAGGACAGCTTGGGAAGACAAATCAAAGTATTGAAATGTCCAAAGAGCTAGAGTCAGAAAATCAAAAAGTCTGAACTCATTCAGCATTTCTTAAGCTGAAGGAACTGAAGAACAAATTCAAGCCTCGAGTCATAATACTTAAGGATGTTTTGTGTAGTATATTAGATAACCCAGGAAACTTTAAAAAAAGATGGAAAGAATATACAGAGTCACTGTACCAAAAGGAATTGGCTGACAAGGAAGAATTTAATGAAACAGCTTTATGAGCAAGAGCCTGTGGTGATGAAGAAAGAAATTCAAGATACTCTGAAAGAATTGGCAAAAAACAAGGCCACAGGAATTGATGGCATACCAATTGACATGTTTCAACAAGCGGACACTGCCCTGGATTTGTTCACCAATATGTGCCAAGAAATCTGGAGGCCAACTGAGTGGAAGAGATCTATATTTGTTCCCATTCCAAAGAAAGGTGACCCAACAGAGTGCAAACATTTTCAACAATATTATTAATATCATGCAAGTAAGATTCTTCTGAAGATTATCCAAAAATGACTGGATGAGCACAGCAACAGAGAACTGGTAGGTTTAGAAGAGGCCATGGTAGTAGGGATATTATAGCTAATATTAGATGGATCTTGGCTGAAAGCAGAAAGTACCAGAGGAATGCCTATCCATGTTTTATTGACTATGCGAGGCCACTTGACTGTGTGGATCACAACAAACTGTGGCTGACTCTGAGGAGAATAGGAATCCCGGAAGACTTGATTGTGCTTATGGGAAACCCACACTTGGACCAGGAGGCAGTGTCAGAACAAGAACAAGAACAGACCAAGGAAATACTATGTAGTTCAAAATTGAGGGTGGGTGGGTGTACGCCAGGGATGTGTCCTGTCTCCATACTTTATCAATCTATATGCAGAACAGATCATCCAAGAGGCTGGGCTCTGTGAGGAGGAATATGGCATCAGGATTGGAGGAAGACTCAACAACAAACAACCTGTGTTATGCAGATGATACAACCTTGCTTGCTGAAGCTGAAACTGAGGAGAGCCTGACACATTTGCTGCAGAAGGTCAAGGCCTACAGCCTTAAATATGGATTGAAATTCATTATCAAGAAAAAGATTCTCACCACTGGGCCAATTGGCAACATCATGATACAGGGTGAAGAGACTGAGATTGTTAATAGCTTCAGTTTGCTTGGCTCTACAATCAATACTCTTGGTACTAGCAACCAAGGACCTCTCAGAGTACGGAAGAGTCCTGTCAGTCTGTAGACTAAAGTGTGTCTGATCTGGGCCATGAGTCTTCACAAGTACTTGCTATGCATCAGACTAGGGATGATAGAAGGACAATTGATGCCTTTGAGCTGTGGTGCTGGACAAGAGTACTGAATATAGCATGGACTGCTAAGAGAACAAACAGGTTTATCCTGGCGAGGGTTAAACCAGACTGCTCCTTGGAGGCAAGGTTTCCGAAGCTTTGTCTCACATACTTTGGGCTTATTGCAAAGAGGGACCAGTCCTTGAAGAGGGACATCATGTTTGCAAGGGTACAGGGACAGCACAAGAGAGTAAAACCCTTGATGAATTGGATTGATTCAGTAACCTGGGTAATGGGTGTAGGTGTGTCAAAGACAATAAGGTGGGCTCAGGCTAGAGCAGGGTTCAGAGCTGTTGTACACAGGGTCACTATGAGTTGCAAGCTCAACTCAACGGCATGTAACAGCAATAGTCTCATAATGGGCAGAACTTAAATTACCAAACTTAGTTTCCTCAAAATCTGAAATCAAGGTGAGAACAAAATATACCATTATCTTTATAGCCAAATAAGTTTGGCAGGCTCAGGAATTGCAATAATCACGTCATCACTGTTGTGATATTCGAGAATAGAACCCCCTTTAAACCTCTGCTCCCCTCACAACCGGGAGTTAGTATGTTCTCCAGAGGAAAGGGGTAAAGTACCCTGTCTTCTACCATATGCTAATTCGTAGTAATTAAACATTCTTCTGCTGGCAATATTCACCCAAGGACCAAGCCAAGGGCACTGACAGGAGAACCCGAGTAGGGTGAAGACCCTTCGTCCTGAAAACTGGGCGTTTGGTTTGCATAGAAGAAATGATTGATCGATGAACTTTCCCCTTAGCTATAGTGTTTATATGATGTATGTTGTTGATTGCCTTCGAGTTGAGCATGACTCATAGCGACTCTATAAACAAAAGGCCTGAACTCCCTCTACAACTCTCAACATTTATCAAAGTTCACAGAGTTTCCTGAGGCATGTTATTTAGGAAGTGGATGCCACTCCTGCTTCCAAAATATCATCTATAGTAGAAGGAAAGTTAAAATATTTGAAAGCATCTTCTATTCTTCAGATAAAGACAAGTAGGAGAAAGGTGTAGGATTCTGCCACAGTTGCAAAGGTCTGAGACTCTTACAGTGTAGGTGGGTAGGAAAATTGGAAGATGAAGATGACAATTTTGAAGATAAATATGATCTATTGTCTGATTTGATACAGAAGGAGAATAACTAAAATTTTCTTGTCAACTATTTTAAGTCTTATTGGGAAAATCTGGTATAACATATCAATTAAAGGAAAATATGGCCCTATTTTGTAAGAATGGAAAGTTCCGTATTATGCTTTCTGATACTGACAACTCCTTTTAGGCGTGGAATGAGTTGTTCCTCAAGGACTTTGCATCACAGAGAGTCACAATTGATAGTTAAATAGAACAGCAAATGATCCCTGGAAGAG